TGCACGACTGACTGTCCTAGCGACGGATGAATACAAAATACTCAGTACAGGATTTTGGCCAGCAACAATTAGCCACACCATCCGTAAGTGGCGCTTTGTCGACGGTACCAACGTGACTGAACGTGGTGGTGATAGTTCCCCATCATAATCATGTTGTCTATGTCTTCCCTCAACTTGCATGCTACCCCATTCTACCCCAGATCAGAATCCGACCTAAAGCTGATAACCATGAATTGTCGGTCTCTCGTCAATAAATTAGCTGAACTTTCGATTGTTCTGGAGAGCACTAAGCCAAGTATTGGTTGCTTCACAGAGACCTGGCTGTGCCCATCTATTTCCGTGCATGTACTGGGCTATTCCTGTTTCAGAAGAGACAGACCAGCACACGAGAACAGAAATGCACACTCTTTCACTAGAGGATATGGTGGTGTCGCCGTGCTTGTCCGGACTGATGCTTTTCAACATATTCTGCACAGACCCGACCTGCAGCGTCAGGGCTGTGAATCTGCCTGGGTGGAAGTTAAGTCTCAATGCACCCCTAACCCTATTCTTGTATGTTGTATGTATCGACCCCCTTCCCAATCGGCGGAACAATTGTCCTTCTTCTCGGATATGCTGGTCGATGCTATACAGTCCTCTTGCTATGACGAGTGTGACTTCTTCCTGACGGGGGATTTTAATGCCAAATATAATGATTGGTGCTCTTCTGACTCCACCTCTACAGCCGGTACCAACCTACAGATAGTTTTTTCAATGCTTGGGCTCCAACAACTAGTGAGTTTCCCAACATACACTTCATCAGCAGGTGCCAACTCGTGTCTTGACTTGTTGGTAACCAACAAACCCCGACATGTCCTCTCAGTCGACCACGCAGCTCCTCTTGGCACATCTGATCATCTGCAGGTTGTTTGTACGCTCAACTATGCATCGTGCTCGACACCACAAGCGACTGCTAAATCGTCCCTCCATCCCCAGGCTCAGTACAGGTATAAACAAGTGCCTACCCGTGTCTGGCAAGTTGTGAATGAAGACTTGTCTAGGTTGGACAGGTCATTACTTCATCGGCATTCTGATGTTGATGATGCCATTGTCCTGTTTGATGCTTTACTACAGTCAGCATTCCATCGTCATCTGTTGCCTTCCAAAGTTATTTCGCGGACAGGAGACTACATTAGGCCTCGTCCTACTATGCGGGATGCATCCCGACCCTGGATCACTCCGGACCTCAAGTGGGCTGTGAAACTGAAGCGAGATTTGTATAGCATTTATAGGAAGTATCCAACCAGTGAAAACTTCATTGCCTTTAAGCGCAAGCGTAACAAAGTGAACTGTTTGTCACGTACCCTCCATCGTCAGGATGTACAGTCGGTTCATGCCACCCTGTCTTCCCATGATCGCCCTAGTCTCCATCAATTTCTCCGCCATCTCCGTAAGAACTGTGGTCGGGAGCCGATCCGATCAATGACAGCTTCAGACGGCCCGGTAGCAACAGATCCCGCAGACATAGCAGACATATTGAACACGCAGTTTACGTCGTTTGGACTTCCTGACGACCCTACGTGGCCTATACCACCACTCACCCCTTCACCCTCAATACCTGCGTCCCTCCTATCATTGTCGACTGGTACAGCCCAAGTGAGGAAATATCTCCGTAATCTGAAAACTGGCAAGTCCCCTGGTCAAGACGGAATTACCAACGAAGTTTGGAGAGCTCTTGCTCCGTCTGTTGCCTATCCTGTGTCAATTATCTTGAATCTGTCATTTCGCGAAGGGAAATTCCCAGCCATGTGGAAAACTGCGGTAGTCGTGGCCACCTACAAAAATAGAGGACCACGCACCACCCCCAGCAACTATCGCCCTATCTCATTGCTCTCTACTTTATCAAAAGTGTGCGAACGTGTTGTATATGACATCATTTATGATCATGTTCGCATTTCACTTTCGCCAGCACAGTCGGGCTTTTGTCGGGGTGACTCCACCAGGTACCAGGTTACCCGCCTCGTGCAAGACATCCACACCGCCCGGAACGCCCATAACCATGTTGGTTTAGTTTTCTTCGATCTCGCAAAGGCCTTCGACACTGTTTGGCACAGGGGTCTCTTAGCTAAGCTGCGAACAGTATATTGCATTGATGGCAAGGCTATCGGCTGGGTCTCATCGTATCTCTCTAACCGACATCAGCTTGTACGCCTCTCAACTGTGTTATCGGAGCCTTTACCCGTTACTTCTGGAGTCCCCCAGGGTTCAATCCTCGGGCCACTGCTATTTCTCCTGTATATTAATGACCTCCCCGATATTGCCCCTGGTGTCAGCCTTTTCGCTGACGACACAGCTCTGCTTTGCTCCAATGCTTGCCCTATACGACTGCACGAAGCCATGATAGCATTGGCAAGGTTATAACCTGGATGCATGATTGGAAATTGCAGCCAAACGTTGATAAAACGGCAGCTATGTATATTTCCCCTTCTCCCCCTTCCCTGCCACTTTGTTTTCCTTCTTCAAGTGTTGCTATTCGTATTGTTGAAGAGCATAAGCATCTTGGCGTTATTATTGACTCTAAATTGTCGTGGTCATCCCAAGTGCAGTATGTCTGCAAGCGCACAAGCTCCATTCTTTGGGCTCTTCAAGCCCACTGTAGACATCTTCCTCTTTCTTGCAAACGCTTGTTTTATCGTTGCTACATATTGCCCTTACTTGACTACTGTGATACTGCTTGGTCTGGCATAACTACTACTGTATTGAACAAGCTAGAAACCCATAACCGCATGCTCCTTAAAATCTTATTTAGCAAAGATCGTCGCTTTCCCTCCGCTAGTCTTTACGAAATTGCCAAGATCAGTCCCCTTTCCACTCGACATAAGTACCACCTCTGTGTTCTCATGCATAAAATATTACAAAATAAAATACCCTTGCATATGCAGGCTTATAATTGGTTCTCCGAAACACGGAATACCCGGAACCCATTCAGTCTGCCACGCGCTGCCTCCACCCTATTCACTAGATCCCCGACCTTTGCTGGCTATGTGTTTTGGGCAACATTGCCAACGCAGGCCAAGACCAGCACGTCGATGGATAATTTTGTTGCTAAAATCTCTGCTCAATTATAGGTTTCATGTATATCCTGCTGGTTTGTCTCCTCCTTTGCCTTCTTTGCCTCTAATTTGTATTATTTTATCTGTTTTACTGCTGTGGTTGGCTTTCACCCTTGTCTCAGTTTTACTGGCTGTCATCATGATGTGCCATGAGATAATGATATAAATAAAAAAATACATATATTCGAAATTTTGTACTTGATCGTTTTGGTTTTTTTTAGTATTGGCATTTTTTTCAAAAATCTTTTGTTGTACCGCTAGTTTACTGGTATGCATGCGTAATGCATGCCTTTGAGTCAGTATTTCATGACTTGGACGATGCAAGTAATGTTAGTTAGTTATGAGATACGAAAGTACTGAGGAAAATCGTTACTTTACACTCCAGGGCCACGTTGAGGGGCCCTATCCCACCACCCATGGCTGCTTCTGGACTTTTGTTAGGTTGGGATCCCGCGTACGGACAGAATGGGCAAGAACATGTGAAAAAAATGTAAATGCTTTTTTTGGCTCCTAGGTGGCTCGCACACCGTGGCACTATGCCGCAATTTTGAGTTTTTCCGGCCTGGAAAGCCTGTCAGTGAGGCGCAAGAATTTTTAAATCATGTCCAGAGGGCCAGCATAGTGGCAGGAGTGTGTGGTGAAAAATTCACTCAAATCCATTGAGAGACACCAAAGTTACGGTCAATTGAATGCCAAATTCTTCATAAAACTGAGACTATAGTACTATGACAAACGTGACAACAACGGTGTAGGGGCTGCACCAAGACGCAGCAGTGATGCTGGGGCATTGATGGCTCTGCCGACCTGAGGTCTTGGCATCACGGCCAAAAACACGCACCAGAGCCAACCCCTGCATTCACTCTTCCCGGATCCATCACAGACCTCATAGTGGTAAAGCAACACAAGCATCTTGGTTTGGTCATTGACTCAGACTTATCGTTTAGTAGACATGTCGACTATATCTGTAGCAAAGTCAGTAAAGCTGTTGGCTACTTCGTCTCTCACTGCTCCCACCTACCGCTTGAATTCGCCTTTTTTCATTGCTATATTCTCCCCTTTTTTCTCTATTGCTCAACCGCCTGGTCATCCCTACTAAGTAAATCGTTAATGAGTACCCTGGAAGTCCACAGTAAGAGGATGCTGAAAGTCCTTTTCCGCAAACCATCATACTTTCCTTCTGTCGAGCTGTATGATAATTATGTTCACACCTTCCCCATCTCAAGTCAAACGGATCGAAAACTGTGCATTGTTCGTTCATTCCATTCGTCTTGACAAAGCCCCGCCACACTTGCGTAAATATAACTGGTTTCTTCCCACTCGTCCTACACGCAATTCCTGCACTTTGCCTAAAGCCGGAACATCAGCTTATACCAGATCTCCGTTTTTCACTGCCTATTCTCTCTGGCTGGCCCTGCCTCTATCAGTAAAATCGTCTTGTACGCTAAATGATTTCAAGGTCAACATGAGGCTTGAGTTCTAATAACTGCTAATTCTTCATTCAGATTTTGTTTCTCTTTTCCTCGGCCCGTGTAAGTTATTGCCTCCTGCAATTTGTAATTTGTTTGCATTGTTTTGCTTACAGCCCATGGCTGGCTATCGCCCCCCCCCCTCCATATTGGCCTATATTCCCTGGTGGTACTATCTTTCGCAACTCTACTGACCGTGCATATGATGTATGTACTGTACGGTTTCTGTACATGTAGGACGGGTACGAACTTACTATCTTTCGGGGGGAACTGTCTTTCGGGGTGATAACCTCGGCAGTGGAAAGTGTATTTTTTTTTATAAGGGGTACTAAGTCATTGGGGAGAACTTATTTACGGGGAAATACAGTACCAGAACTATGTATAGGTAATACTCACCTAATCACATGACGGATTGTAATGTGCTGGACTGCCCTTTGTACAGGTGAATCCATTGTCGACAAGCTAAATATAAACGTTACTGGCGAAGGGCTTGGGAGTTCAAACGTCACTGTTTTCAGCTTGATTGATTCAGAGTGGAGGGTGCAACGTGTGTTCACACAGAATACACTTAGCCCAAGACCGACTACCACGGTACGTCTGATGCCAGACATGCCAGGTCAATGGCAAGTATTGAGTGTGTTCATGTTTGGATGATGTGTCTTTCTGTCTGAATCTTCACACATCCCATTAGCAGTGTATGTGAGAGAGGTCTACATGCCTAACATAGACGTGAAGAAAAACAGAGAGGATGAAATATGCACACAATAAACATGGTGTATTGACGGAGGACGCGAGGTATAATAATATGGTAAGGTACCCTTAGCATTGAGACGATAACGGATAAAGTGAACGTTGAATTTTGCGTCAAATGGAATTTATGCCTTAGCAATCTGACGCTACTTCAACGTGAACCGTTGCCATGGTGGATATGGCAACAGTCCTTGCCAGCCTGGCACGATTCGAAATTTTTCAATTTTTTTCCGAGAAGCGAGTTCTGGAGACCTCCCGCGTTGGCGTTGTTACCTCTCCGGTGCTGGAGGCAGAAGAAGATGAGCTGGCTGGCGAGTGGTGCTGAGCAACAGCAGGCTGTTCAGCTGGGGAACCTGGCAAAAAAACGAGGTCACGCATGATGACAGACAGCTAGTCTAGCTTGACGCGACAACAAGCAAAGTGAAAGCAAAGTGAAAGAGGAAGAGGCCTTTCCTCCACACACGCGTGGCTCAATATTAGAACTTCCGCGGCAGTACAAAATTTATCCCAGGGTCCTGTCAAAACTCACGCATCCAGTAAAAATGCTGATAAAACAGATATCGTCAAGCCTCACGCTATTTTCGACCAAATAAGGTTTCAACGCAGAACTTTATCATCATTTCCCTGGTCTGGGGTAGATAGCATCGAAAATAGCGTTAGCGTTTTTTGCTAAGTGTACTTATTATAACAGAGACATGCCCCTCGGAGTACAGACACAACGCACAGAGTACATTTATGACACATGGAGTACACAATAACGAGAGTTCCCAGATTGCCTAGAGTACTCAACACCACAACGATGGAGCATTGCCTAAAAGGCAGAAGAGAACAGAGACAACCGGCTAGTTGATTGCTGTAACGCTGGGTTCATCCGGCACATTGCAAAGCTAAGGCAATCTTAAGACAACTGTTACGTACCTCCTCCCGTACGTTGTACAACCTTTTCAAAGCTGACCTGCATGCGCCCTCGTACTCACCTTTTGTCACTTTTTGTTCCGTTGGCCTGGGTGGCTACTTGCGCGCCCATATTTGCCATAGCTACCCAGGCCCTTTATCTTGCTGCCCTCACTTGATCTCTCTCTCTCTTCCATAATGTAGTCGTTTCGTTCGTCTTGGTCTCTGTCTCTTTGTCTCTAAAAACTGTCGTCCCATCTACCAGTTCCCGTTTTCCAAAATGTCTTGGAGAGTAATCGTCCTTTTCGAACTCAACACAACTGATAACCTGCACATCATCTGGGTACAATATTATACGCAGCCAGATAGCAAAACAAAGGGCGCAGAGGTAGAAAAGCGCGACATTAGTGTGACATTTCATGTACTTGAGACATGGTGCAGATGGTGTCAGTTTTACAAGGAGGTGAGAATGAGGGAGAGAAGGAGAGTTGACAGTCAGGTTACAGTGACGGTAGGCAAGCCCTGCGCCTGGTGGCGGCAGGCAGGTGACTACTTAAGTCACACCAGTGACGTAGAGTGAGAGATAGAACTTATTCTAATTACCCGCACTCGGGGAGCAGCACATCACCTCGTTCGAGTACCATTTTGGCCCGGTCCTGCGGGTCGAGCGACCATGCAGTTCATCGGCGCAGTCCTGTGGAACCAGCTCCCGCCTGATCTCCGTTCCGAGCCCAGCCACCTTCAGTTCTGTGCCCTGCTAAAAGCGCATCATGGCTCCGTTTAAATGCTTTTCGGCTAGTGTGTTTCTGTGGTATAGCGGACTGAAGAATAGTAAACGTGTTTTGCAATATATGTATGAAGCTATTTTGTATATAGTATGTTCCCATTCCATTTTTGCTTTGGTGTAGCCCTGAGGTTGATTGCTTATTTATTTCTAACCTTCCTCTCTCCATACTTCTGTCCTCCCCCCTCTCTCTCATTCCTTCTGTCGTCCACATGTATCAAAGGAGGCGAAATCGCCTGTTTGTGGTGCGACGTTAAATAAACTTCTACAACAACAACAAATTAAAGCTACGTGGACCCTGGCTAGCGCCAGACATCACTAAGCCTATGACGTAAAATAGCCGCTATGTCGTAATGTGTACAAAATACAGGTACTGCATACATGTAGGTTCCCCTGTCATGAATATTACCCGTGCCCTCCCCTCAGGTGAACTCTGGATCCGCCGCTGCTAAAGTAACGTATTTTGCATAGCTACGGGAATAATAGTGATTAGTACACAGAAGTAGACTTCTCCAGCACAGAAGTCGAAGTCGTTCTCTCCGACTCCAAGCTTCACAGTAATCAATCATCATGCAAGCCACCTGATGGTGACTCAGCTTGAAACTTGGAGGTGTTGTTCTACTTCTGTAATGACAATGCATCATGAAAAGTAACTATGCTCTCTTGCATGAAGGAGTTGCCATCAGCCATTCTTACTTCTATGATGTTTATATTGAATTCAGTTGTTGTGCGATGGATGTGCCAATAGTGCTTACTACATCAAACCGATGCATGTCCTAGGATATTGATGTGTTTGGTGACAGTTTAAACAATTATGGCAATTGTATAACACTCGTTGTTTAAACTTGTTTGAATCTTGCCAACTTGTACACATTCTTCTCCAGCTTCCGTAACCTCTTCATCCGCAGTCACCATAGATCGTAGTAGTTGCATCACAGATACAGGTACATCCATCAACTTCACGCTATCGGCCCGCAGTGAGAATGGTACTGATTCTACAATAACTACATGTACGTCCCGGGTGAACAAGGCGATCATTTATTCCACTCTCGTAACAGCATTGTTAATGACGGAGATCTTTGCAGCCATCACACTGATATACATAACATACCAGGCAAGAAACTAGGTCTTAGTTACAATCGCAATTCCTGCACTTTTGTTCTCTTTTTCTTTATATCCCTTTTTTCCCAGTATCTCATAATAGTCACAAATGTAAGAGTACTCCGTAAATCTTTTGTTGTTTCAGTTGGTCTCATTGTGTTTGTCATATTATGGTATAAAGTTTGTTGCCTGATGATTGCGTAAGCATGAAACTTAAAGTAGCAGCAAACAAGCCTTGATTGTCCTTGTTGTTCTGTTGTGTATTACGCTCTGCCTTTGTGGTGTTGAGCACTGTCAAGCACTCTGGGTACATCCTTTGGTATAAAGTGATAAAATAAGTTGCTAAAATATCGCATGTACTTCATCAATGGTAGTTAACGTCTCTTCAAATTGATATGCAGTACACTGTACCTATTGATACATTGATTGGTACATTGATACGTTGATGCGTTCATAGGATAATCATTTATTTTATAATAGTTTTGATGTAAATTGTATTACGGTTTGGGTTTGACAATCTTTATTTTACACATGCATTTTCCTGATTTCTTCTCCAGTGTATGTTGTATTGCATTTTAATCCATTGAGGCTTGTATCACATAATTGTTTTAAGTACATTGCATCTGCGACGTAGGCAGTAGGTATACGCCTCAACCCTCCATGCTCACTTTAGCTACAGGATGGTACAAGACTGCAAGTTGTCCATTTTGAAATTTCGCAGTTTTGCATGTGTTGTTTTGATATATGCATGCTCTTTTGTACTTGTTTGTAATTGTGAATACTATGCATGGTGGAGTCAAGACCAGCAAACCATTGATTCATGCTGCGAATTCAAATAAATCAATACAACACAACACAATACAATGCTGTTGCCAGGGAGTCTTGTTGTTGAGATTAGGGAGTCGTCAAATAATGGCACATGTACAGTACTTTGACGACTACATGTACCTGGTAGAGGTTAAACACTTACCAGTAAAAGAGAAATTTAGCAGACACCTAATTTAAGCACACACATGATGTAAGCAGGAGATGGTGTATGCAGTAATTGTTCACAAGTGCAATCCCAGAAAACAGTTTGAAAAGAGAGGTGTTGGCAGTGCTTCAGACAAAAAAAGGAAGGACACAAATGATTGAATTGAACACGATGTATCCAGGCATTGCAAGAAATTCCGTTGCCGGATCTTGGCAATAGTGAATCCACCAATCAAGCTGTAGCATTTATTATGCAACCAACAAAGCAAGAGAGATTGTGTGCCGAAAGCAGTATGTAAAACGTAATCTGCTCAGCTTTACTTTAAAAGAGCAAGGAGGTCGCAAATCGAAAGAGATGTACAGTCAACTTCGCTGGAGAATTACATGGGCCTCAACCAGCGAAAACAGCCCTTAGGGTCAACATTTTCGAAATTCCTTTTTGGTTATAAATTTGTTGAACCACATCTACTGAAGGACCTCAGCCAAGAAAAAGTTCACTATTCCCATTCTAAACGGGTGTATACACCAATATACAATATGTACTCCAAATTGGTGCAATGTACATGTATGTATACGATGTATGTATACAATGAATATTCAGCATTCGAAGTTGGGTGGGCAGCTTGAATACTTTTGAAATAGTGAAGTAAGCAGCTATAATGACAAAGAATAGTTGATGAGTGCGGAGAAATGATCGACATATTCGCAGCTGCATCCTGCGTGGAGTCGCTCCACAATCTCGTCTTCCATTTCTTCGTCCGTAGCTGAAGACACGACGTCGCTGCCGTCACTAGCCCCAGACTCAGAATTTATCTCAGTTGACGACTCCTCATCTTCCGACTCTGACGAGTCATCGGCCACCTTGAGCCGCATCGCAGCAGGAGATGACGGCTGCGATTCCGCCTCGCTGTCGACATCGATGTCGGAACCAAAGAACGTTTCATCCTCATTCTGAACTTCAGCGGCTACTTCAGCATCCACTCCCCACCAGGCTCGAGCTAGCTGTAGACAATGACTGCCGTGTGTGCTCTGCGAACAACTCTGGCGTCCGCAGCCATCGCAACAAGATCAAGGAACACTGGAGTCGCCACTCGACACCACTTCAACTTCAAAATAAAAATTAATTAACTTCAAGCAAGGAGTTCAAGAAGTCGTCGCGCGCTGTTCGCAGCGCGATCAAAAAACGTTGAACGTCACAAATCGACCTTTTTCTCGAAAAAATTACGAAATCTCTAAGGGTCGTTTTCGCTGATTGCGGCTCACATGTAAACAATGAACAATGGGAGGAAGAAGGCGGGTAGATGCTGCCTTAAGAAGAAGTTAGGAGAAATCAAAAACTTTATGAACTATCACTGTGTAGACATCTTGGGCATTGCTGAAACTTGGCTTGATAGTACGTTTTCTGACACATCCATTTATATACCTCATTATAGACTCTTTAGGCGCGATTCCGGGCACAGACCTGGTGGCGGTATAGCTGTATACAGTCGAGATACCCTGGCTGTTTCCAGACACGATGAACTCGAGAGTGAAACAATCGAAAATCTGATACTCACCTTGAAGACAGAATCCGGTGAACCCATCACCCTCGCTACATTCTACCTTCCACCTTCCACTTCTGCTGCAGTATGGCAAGACGTAGAAATCAGTCTGAACAATCTAAGCCTGCGAAATAGCAACCGCGTGTACGCCACAGGTGACTTCAATTCTGACATGTGCTCGGGAGGCAGTCGTATGCACACCATGCTTCAGCGGTTTGATCTGGAAAACTACATCCAGACACCGACAAGAGTGACGCATTGAGTTCCACCCGAATAGATCTTCTCCTCGCCCCTCAGTCTCTAGTTGGGGCGCGCAAGGTCATCCAGTGTGACATCAGCGATCACTACGAATTTGTGGCCAACATTATCGTCGTCACCCGGCAGTTCGAAGAGTTGCATCTCGAAAGAGGCGGGTGTGGAGGAAAAACTGCGAGCACTTTAAGACTTGCAGGACTGCAATCTTGAGATCTTCAGCGAGTCGAATGATGTTGATGCGATGATAAGCGAGCCGAATAGGCGAAAAACGGGCCGATTTGGGGAAAGTCTAGCACCAGCCGTCCAGCAGGTTCTTGTGGATAATCTGGAACATCAGGTGATTGAGCCTTTCCTCGAGAGTTGTACTGCGTAAGTAGGACTTGACCCTCCGCATGGTTGAAAACGAGCTTCCTCTTCCTTTTTCCTTTTTTTTTGGCGAAACATTGGTCCGGCGGCCGCCAGACCTGCCGGACCTGTTCCTACGCCCCTGGCGCCGAATGGTACTCAAGGGTATTTACTGATCTAGATCGTAACGCCCCATTAAAACCTCCTCGAAAGCCGAGGCGCCGACCTGTCCAGGGTTGTGTCCTGAACTTGTATCTGCTGTGCGGCAACGAAACAAGGCCCACCGACTTCTTTCACGCTCTCCAAACGATGTCCGCCTGCGAGAGCAACACCGCACTCTCCGCGTAGCCACGCGCAAGCTGGATCGGAGGCTAAAGGATCAGTATTTCCAAGCTCGCCTGCAGTCGGCCGGAAAGGACGGACGGAAGCTCTGGAATACGATAAACGTGGTGACTGGATGAGCGAAAAGTTCAAGCCCCCCACAAGTACCTGTTAAAATCCTGTCCCGAACTTTTGGTAAAGTTATGCATGACCCTGGACGACCAGCCACGCTGTGCGCCAACGCACCAGCCGAACGTGAAGCACCAGCGTTCACGGAATTTGCGCCTGTTTCGACGGGGGACGCTATGGCCCTTCTCCATTCCATTGACGCGTCAAAGGCGACTGGACATGATAATAATAAGTATATGTTATCGCATGGTTGCAAGGGCCTTATGGCATATTATTGCCCCGAGAGGTTAGCCCGAGGGCCGTAGGCCCGAGGGCTAACCTCGAGGGGCAATAATATGCCATAAGGCCCGCAGCAACCATGCGATAACAAATTTATCACATGGCCCACAGAGCAGACCGTTGGGCTGCTGTTGAAATTAGCCCAAATGCCAACACATTATGACCACAATGTATTGTTAGGTACCTCCTCCCGTACCTTTTCTAGCTGGCCTGCATGCACTTGCGTACGCACCTTTTGTCTCCTTTTCCTCCGTTGGCCTGGGTAGCTACTTGCGCGCCCATATTTGCCATAGCTACCCAGGCCCTTTATCTTGCCGTTTAGACTTGATCTCGCTCTCTCTTTTCTCACTCGTCAATAATCACCATGTAGTCGTTTCGTTCGTCTTGGTCTCTTGTCTCGTCGTCTATAATAAATGTCATTCCCACTAACTTGTTCCCGGGTATCCCGTTGTCAGTCGTCCTGTTTCGAACTCAACATTGGCGCCCGATTATTGATCGACCCACGACCCTGAGATCATCCCATGCCCAGCCGTCCTCAACCACCATTCGTCTCGTCCATGTCAGTCTCGTCTCTCCTACGCCAACCTCGTCTCGTCTCTATCAACCTCGTCTCTCCTACGCCAACCTTACCTCGTCTCGTCTCTATCAACCTCGTCTCTCCTACGCCAACCTTACCTCGTCTATTCTCGTTCAAGCCATGCAGGTCAGCTACCTTTCTCTCTTTCTTTTTTTTGCATGCTTCTTCGTCAAATTTATTTTCGTGAATTTTTTTGTAGTGTGTGCGCGCGCGTGTGTTCGTAAAACATAACCAAGTTAGGGGTCCGATCATGGTGAGCCACGCTCTAATTTTTGGATGTTTAGCAAAAGTGTAACTAGGCTGTATTAGCCGTGCAAAATACTAGTAATTCACGTTCCTCGTCAAACTCCAATAGTTATTACACACAATAAGTAGTACAGGAATGATGTGTACGAGTGCATTTTTAGTACACACTTTCGTGAGATCCATGCGCGCGTGCAGTATGTGTGTGTGTGTGTGTGTGTTTTCTCCTCCAGTTCATTTTTAAAAAATCTTTTTCTCTCTTTTTTTTTCTCTCCGCGAGGACGCGGGATTTTTTTTCATGGAGGGGTTGTATGTTAGGTACCTCCTCCCGTACCTTTTCTAGCTGGCCTGCATGCACTTGCGTACGCACCTTTTGTCTCCTTTTCCTCCGTTGGCCTGGGTAGCTACTTGCGCGCCCATATTTGCCATAGCTACCCAGGCCCTTTATCTTGCCGTTTAGACTTGATCTCGCTCTCTCTTTTCTCACTCGTCAATAATCACCATGTAGTCGTTTCGTTCGTCTTGGTCTCTTGTCTCGTCGTCTATAATAAATGTCGTTCCCACTAACTTGTTCCCGGGTATCCCGTTGTCAGTCGTCCTGTTTCGAACTCAACAGTATATTGATGTGCTATCATTATCAAAACAGGAAAAATAAAGATATTTCTCCTACACCCTAACAAAAAGTCTGCTACAGGCCATCAGAGAGTATACAGTACTGAAAGACGGAGACAGAAAAAAGTGCCGGCACCGCATCGTCATAGCATGGCAACGACAATATATACAGCAGAATCATAATTTTCAGTTGAAAAATTAAGAGTGCTACCACAAAGAGTTTCTTCATGTTTACATGTGTATCAGGAAGTTGTCAAATACAGTACTGCAACAAGTGCAAGTATTTGACGACTCCCTGGTGTGTAATTCTGAGGACAATTTTTCTTCTTCTTTTTTCAGCTCCAGATAGCTGTATTTTTCATTGCAAAACATTCCTGAATTGTTGTGTTTGTTGTTCAAGCAAAGGTGAAGGCAGAGGACAGATGAGCCTGGTAAGAGTTTTGCGTGGCACATGAAGACCACACACAGGCAGTGACTTTGCGAGGATCTGAAAACGCACGACACTGAGTTGAATTTGTGTTATTTCAAATAATTGTTTGTGATCACAGTACCACTTCGAGCAGAACTGAATCTTATCCAAAAGCTTACCGACGGTCAGGCTGCCAACATGACTGAACAAATGATCCCTGCAAGCACCACACGGCAGACGTCCGAGGCCATGTCCATTGCCGGGATGTCCATCTCCAAAAAGAATTCCATCTTCGTCTCAATGCTACACTGCGACTCGTCGTAGAGTCGTACCTTCTACAGAGTCGTCGTAGTCACGCGAGGAAATAAAAAGCTGAGATCGCCACTTTCGACCACGCGTTCACATGTCACACTGCGCCGTACACTCACCATGCCCACCATGTTCACATCCCGTAGATTTCACGCGTACAGTCTCAGTCAGGGTTGTCACTGACGACGGGCTTTGGACGCGGGCGTTGGACTGATTTATTAGGGACCTTTCGCACCCCGCTGACGGATACGAAACGAATGCTGATTCGTCACCTGGATTCGAGGATTCGTCAGAGTCCCTGCGGAGAACTCGTTTTCACGAATGGAGGCCTCTTCATTCGTGGCACGCTCCGAATCCGTCAGGTACACATTTATTTGGATAGGTACACATGTTTTGCAAGGTACACATTTTTCCCTTGATTCCATGATCCATGCACGTGTGCGTGTAAAAACCCGTACGCCAAGCTACCGGCGCCCGCGGCCGTATTCATAGTTGCCATGCACTTTTGCATGACGACTTGCGAAACCTGAAATCTGTTTTCAACGAAACGATTACGAGCCGAATCAAACTTTCGTTTCGCATTCGTTTCGTAGCAAATGCGAAAGGTCCCTATTGCCCGCTCATACAGACCAGTGATTGGCCCCATCCAAGGAAACACTCACGTGACATGTGATAATAATCTTTATTTCGGGATTACCCAAAGGCTGACGCATATCTCCTATTTGTGTATATACAATGAACATTGGAGTTGAGAAAAGGAGAAAATGTGCAAAATGATTTCGGAAAAAGAGATGCTGATGCTGATGCTGTACGTGATGACTTGCCAGGTATTGTCCTTAGAAACTCGGCACCAATACTGGCTCCGTCGCTCAGCATGATTTTCAATACTTCGCTATGTCAGGGGTGTGTTCTTGAGACAAACCCCAGGCTAGGTTTCTGTGGCCACATTATAATCTTATCTCCATTGTTTCCTTTAAAAACGAGTTACTTTTTCCGATTGTGTTTCACTTCCGAGAATATACACGTACGCTGGCAGGCTCGTGCCAATGAAGGGGATGCCTGCTCACAGGCAAGACTAGCCTGGGAGTGAGAGTGAGAGGCTGTGGTGCGGGCCTGAGTCAGGGTATTGACATGATTTGGACGATGACCGGATGTATTTCCTGGCATCGTACCTGACTACAGACCACATAGATGTACATGTGCATACACATACCGGTAGTCATTACAGAGAACAGCATCCTGCTGTAGGCCACGTGTGTCTCCATGGCTTCCGTCCTTTGCCGGCAGACATTCACATACATCTGTGTGGCATACAAACGTGACGTAGGAACTGGTTGCAGGTTTTTGAGCTCTGGTCAAAGTCCCCCCTTGTTCTCCCCCAGCATGCCAGCCAGTCAGCCGAGCAGGCTGCCAGTAGCAGGTACAGGTGTGAAGTCGTCTTCCCTTCGCCAAACTCCTGAGAGGTTGAGCAGAAAGTCTCTCGCGGCGGATCGCTCGCCTCCTGACGGCCTGCGACAGCAAATTGACAACACCTGTTATAACGGGAGCCAGGCGGAACAGGACGACACTGCGTCAATGCGCAGCACGTTAAACGAGATATTGCGGGAGCAGAAGGATATGAGTATGAGAGTAAACAGCATCTTTCAAGAAATCTCCCTGAAGCTAGAAAGTGTAATGGCGGAAAATCGCTCTTTGAGAGAGAAGCTGACGAAGTTTGAAGTGAGAGTGGAGGAGATGAAGAGGACTTTCCGTACTCGAGATGATGACCCTGCGTACCGTACCAGGAGTGCGGTGCAAAGCAATGCACCACGTGGAAACGCGTGGCAGACAGCTGGGAGCCACAGTGCAACGCAGCTTGCCGAGGTCATAGCAGAGGAGGTAGAGAGGGGGAAGAGGTCGGAAAACCTTATACTCAGGGGCATCCCCGAAGCGGACAATGAGGACAGCGTAGCACTGTCATCCAGATGTGAGCAGCTCCTCCAGATTAGTGCTGACCAAATACTCTCTGCAGAGCGCATTGGTTCCGCCAGCAAAGCCGTACAGGACAAGGCCAGGCCAGTGAGGCTACGCATGAAAAGCCACGAGGCCAAGCTGTCAGTGTACCGTAAACGTCTGAATTTGAAACTGAATGATCAAGATGTGTACGTGAACAACGACCTGACCAAGCAACAGCAGATTGCTAGACGACAGGCCCTGCCTAGGTATAAGGAACTCCGCCAAAAGGAGATCCGTTGCTCGCTACCGTATGGTGAGATTTTGAACCCAGATGGCACCCCATACAGTGCAACTGAAATCGATGAGCTAGCAACACAATAGGTTTCATCAGGGTGTCCAAGTAGTAGTATAGTGCCGTAGGGGTTCTGATCCAAAAGTCACCTTTGACCCCTGGCTGCCTAATAAGGAAGAATAGTCCATATATGGCAGATGACCTTTGACCTTTGAGTTGACCTTTGACCTTTGAGGTACCATATAAGGCAGAATAGTCCATATATGGAAGATGTCATTTGACCTTTGACCTTTGGTGTTGACCTTTGACCTTTCCATATAAGGATGAATAGTCCATATATGGAAGATGACATTTGACCTTTGACCTTTGGTGTTGACCTTTGACCCTTCCATATAAGGATGAATAGTCCATATATGGAAGATGACATTTGACCTTTGACCTTTGCTGTGACCTTTGACCTTTCCAAATACGGATGATTGGTCCATAGAAGGAATGTGACCTTTGACCTTTGGGATTGACCTCTGTGCTTGATAGAAGTGTCCTTATAAGGGAGGTGCACGTGGTTCAGGTCATATAAGGCATCTTCCATAGTGGGGAGAAGTGTCCTTATAAGGAAGTTGTACACGGATGACGTCATATAAGGCATGTGCCATAGTGGGGTGAAGTGTCCTTATAGGGAAGGTGTACACGGATAATGTCATAGAAGGCATGTGCCATAAAGGGGTGAAGTGTCCTTATAGGGAAGGTGTACACGGATGATGTCCTATAAGGCATATTCCATAGTAGGGTGAAGTGTCCTTATAGGGAAGGTGTACATGCTGTAGTTTTTAAATAAGGCATATTCCATAGTGGGTGGAAGATGCCTTATATGGCATGCGTATCCTGGCCAGGTCATATAAGGCATGCAGTTGAAACAATCATTGAGGTCCTTTCTGTCTGAGGCTTTGAAGAAAAGAAGCATCATGTAACAAAGCTGGGTTCGTACCCGCAACCTCTCGTACGGAAGGCATGAACTGTACCAAACGACCAGGACGACTACACACAAGACCCAAGGCTCAAATCGCCTATTTATACCCGGACCGTAAAGAAGAAAAAACGCATCATGTAACAAAGCTGGATTCGTACCCGCAACCTCTCGTACTGAAAGCACCAACTGTACCAAACCACCACGGACGACTATGCATAAGAGGGAAGGCTCAAATTGACTAGTTATACTAGGACGTATACATACATGTACATCCTCAGAACACTCGTTAACTATAATGTAGGGAATAAAAGAGGCAGAATGAATTGGCTACAAAAAAAAAACATGAGACTTACACATACTTGTCTCTGTGTATCTTGTGATTTCACAGGTATGTTTTGATTACAAGAATTACACCAAGTGTTGCGATGCCGACGGTCATGATGTTCCTCGCCATACTCATCCTCCTCCTCTCGGCTTGAATCATCTTGTTTATTGTTTCGCTTAGCTCTTTCTTGACGATGCGAGCTGCTTCCCAGATGTACTCATCGTTCATGTTCTCCTCTGAATGCATTTCGTCGAAAAGGACGATGGCTAGTGCGATCATCCCTCGTATTGTGCCGATCGATGCATTTCTTTGGTGAACCCTCTCCAGCACGGTCTTTAGCTGTCTCTCTAGCGTTGAGAAGTTTCTCTCGTATCCCATCAAGTAGTGCGCTGCTTGTCTATACTCCTCTCTGTTGTCAATAGCTTCTTTTTCTGCTTCTTTCCAAATTGTCGAAAGCTGTTCATTCTTGTCGATCAATCTTTTCAGCCACCAGCATTCACAGAAATGATCCATCATGTCTGTATTCCTTGGTGGCCTGCGTTTGATCGCCCGTCTTGCTGCATAGGTGATCAGCAGGTCAAAGTCGGCGTCTTGCCCGGGGTTCATTTTTCATGAAGCAGATGATGTTCAATAGGAGACGATGATGGCTAAGTTGAGGGCTGACAAACAAGAAGGAATGTTAGCTGATGGTCTATATTCTTCTTATATCTTCTATATTTGTGTGTGTGTGTGGGTTTTTTTCTCATTCACCAATCAGCACCCTCTGGTTCCTGTATTGTTTGAATTGGCCAATCAGCAGCGAGATGACGTGTTCTCCAAGGTCGTTTTTAACTTTTTTCTTTTCTTTTCCGGACACGTTCTCACTTGTCTAGACAGGTCCCATTTCACACATGTCAGACTTGTCCTTATAAGGAAATGTTTATTTATTTATTTTTTTTTAAATTGATTAGTTCATTTAATGCTGAATTAATGTATAGTAGGATAGTCTTTATAGAAAAGGTTTGTATAAGGCACATACCATTATATGAGATAATTATCCTCATTGAAAAGTCGAAAAAATATATTGAAATGGAGCTAATAAAGGAGACACAGTGAATTGGCTATAAAATAAAATAAAATAAAATAAAGAAAGAAGAAAGAGAAGAAAAAAAAAAAGAAGAAAAAAGAGTAACATGAGACTTACAGAGACTTACAGTATATCTTGCGATTTCACACGTAGGTTTTGATTACAAGAATTACACCAAGTGTTGCGATGCCGGCTGTGATGATGTTCCTCTTCATACTCTTCCTCCTCTCAGCTTGAATCATCTTGTTTATTGTTTCGCTTAGCTCTTTCTTGACGATGCGAGCTGCTTCCCAGATGTACTCATCGTCCATGTTCTCCTCCGAATGCATTTCGTCGAAAAGGACGATGGCCAGTGCGATCATCACGAGTATTGTGCCGAACGATGCCTTTTTTTTGATGAACCCTCTCCAGCACGGTCTTTAGATGTCTCTCTAGCGTTGCGAAGTTCCTCTCGTGTCCCATCAAGTAGTCCGTTGCTTGTCTATACTCCTCTCTGTTGTCAATAGCTTGTTTTTCTGCTTCTTTCCAAATTCTCGAAAGCTGTTCGTTCTTGTCGATCGATGTTTTCAACCACCAGCATTCACACAACCAGCATTCACAGAAATACTCCAGCATTTCTGTATTCCCGCGTCTGATCGCCCGTCTTGCTGCATAGGTGATCAGCAGGTCATAGTCGGCGTCTAGCTGGAGATCCATTTTTCATGAAGCCGATGATGACGACGATGAACAGCGGATGATGATGATGGCTAAGTTGATAGCTGACAAACAACAAGAAATGATGGTTGATGGGCTATCTTCTTTTTTATATATCTTCTATGCTGTGTAATTTTTGTTTTATCATTCACCAATCAGCACCCTCTGTTTCCTTTAGTCTTAGAATCGACCAATCAGCAGCGAGATGACGTGTTCTCCAAGGTCGTCACCTTTCTTGTTTCTTTCCGGACACATTCTGACTTATCTCAGCAGGTCGTCACTTGTTAGGGACACGTTCTGGCATGTTTTGATAGATACATTCATCAATCAGCACCCTCTGTTTCCTGCAATTCTAGAATCGACCAATCAGCAGCGAGATGACGTGTTCTCCAAGGTCGTCACTTTTCTTGTTTCTTTCCTGACACGTTCTGACTTATCTGGGCAGGTCGTCACTTGTTAGGGACACGTTCTGACATGTTTTGACAGATACTGGAAGGTAAATGGCGTTACATTAAAAAAGGATAAGATGTCCTGTTTGATGATCATTTGCAACCCCTTTTCTTTTCGAGATGGCGACCTCATCCTACCTCTCCTCCTCCTCCTCCTCCTCCACTTCAACTGAGATGTTCACGAAGAAGAAGGTATCTCCTGCTCCTACAACTCTGCACAAGATGGAAATCGTCAGTGATGGTGCAGATCGAGGTATGCAAGTGAAATATGGTCGTCGTTTTCGTGAATACAACAACGTGGCGCCAGGTGTTCGTTTCTACTACACCCAAGACTCTCTACCAGCATCGCGTGTCCTGGCTACACCGGAGAAAGGACGATATGGTCATCTTATTCTAAACGTATCATGTTCAAATGAAGAGTTGATATTGAATGCTATCAAGACTTCCCCCCTGCTACGCCGGGCTATCAAGAACGACATAGTCCTAAAACTCCAAACCAACTGCTACCCAGCATCAGGAGGTGGAAGCAAGATTTATCTTCCCGACACATCGTCTGTGCCATTATCAGCGTTCGAACTGGATGTTGAAAGGAATGTCTTCATCTTCCCAAGCACATTCTCCTACAACCATGACACGAAAGTGGGCAAGATTCGACTGGCAGCTGTCCCGGAAGGATTTGTGGACAGTCGTTTGTGTGAAGATGATGATGATGAGAACGACTCTTTCCTACACATCCCTCCACGAGAGTTAGCACTTCTGAATTCCATCTTCATGAAGAAGTGGCATACCTGTTCCAAAGATGTCCACTCTGAAGACGATGATGACAGTATGTATTTCACTTGATTTTTTTTTTTTTTTTTTTTTGTTACTCTATTTCACGTCTCAAACATTGGCCATTACTTATTCAAATGTGAGGGTGATTATACAATCATATTATGATGTTCTCTGAAGTGGTCGTAAAACAGGCCCTTCTCTATGATGATAATTCTAATTGAATTTTGATATATTTCTTTTTTTTTTCCTTGCCCGTACAAGAGGCTGTTCAAATGATAAATGGTTGTCTTGTTGTGACACTTTCTGGATCTGTAGAGATGCAGCAGTAGGTTATAAAATGAAAGATAAACACTGGTTGAGTGTTCAGTTGGTAATTGAGTTCTGCGGACTATAAGGATGGAAGAAGAGTTTGAGATTATAATATTCCTACAAAGAAAAAAAGAAAAAGAAAAAAGAAATAAGAAAAAAGCTCACCAAGATTGAAACTAAGCCTAAAACTAAGCGCAAAACTAAGCCTAAAACTAAGCGCAAAACTAAGCCTAAAACTAAGCCCAAAACTAAGCCTAAAACTAAGCGCAAAAGTAAGCGCAAAACTAAGCCTAAAACTAAGCGCAAAACTAAGCGCAAAACTATCGTAATCTCTAATAAGCACGGTCCTTTATTTTATTTTATTTTTTCAATGTACCTCCACGCGCTGCCCCGTGCTATCTAATGGAGACGGTCCTTATTGGGATCTGTTCTATTATTAGTTCACACTCATTTCAGAGTTCGTGCACCGCGCGCGCGCGATCGCGCAAGTGATAGTGATAACATGTACATGCATATACCATATGCGGATATATACTACTGTACGATGTCCTTTATTGGATCCCTCCGGTTGTTTTCACAGCACTGCACAATGTGCTTATGATGGAGACTGAGAACTTTATTTATTTATTTTGAAATGCTGTCCCCAAGGTGTTCTACTAGTAGTAGTATTGGAGACGTGCTATTATTGCAGCCTGTCCTTATATTAGAGATAATACGGTAAGCACAAGACTACTATAATCAACCCATGAAATGATAGTTGTTGGAGAACGACGTCGAGATGTACAGGACGTACAATCAAGACAAAGCCGTAGTGGTGGAGCGTTTCAACCGAATGCTAAAATCACTCTTGTGGAAGCATTTCACAGCACCCTCCACTAACGCCTACATCAATGTGCTTCCTCAACTGATATCTCCCTATAACAACACCAAACATCGTGGTATCTGTATATCCCAATAAACCACATCCGTATTCGTATGTGTGTGTGTGTGTCTCTCTCTCTCTTTGTATGCCTTTGTTCTTAGGTTTTATATTACTATTCTCTTCAGCACAAACTCGAATAAAAACAACATACATAATATGTACAAACACACAAATGCACACACATGCACATACACACACACACTACTACTACTATATACAGCTACCCTATCGGATCACGCCGCTCCCAGAAGCGGGAGACAACGACAAGAAGAGAGAAATCGCACACACACACACACACACACACACACACACACACACACACACACACACACACACACAAATGTAAATTTAAAAAAGAAAAAAAAAAAAAAAGTGGACGATAGGAAACTGGTGTCCAGACTATCGAGAACAAGTGATGATGCACGTAGACGGATTCTGGAGCGTGTCGTTTAGAACGACACGATTGCTGAGTGCAAATGAGGCAGAAGAGATGCGGAATAAACAGAGGCGTGTTGGAGGTAGGGAAACGGATTGGAGAAATAATGGATGAACAAGGAAGTGATCTACTATGTGGAGAATAACAGCAAGGAAAACGACTGTACTGTCTGAGTGTAAGCAAGAAATGTAGCACGGCATACATGTTCGAGAAGATGGTACAACGGTGAGTGAAGATGATGAAGAAGAAGAAGAAAAAAACAATTTCTATCATATAGTCTTACTCTGTTTCGTATCCTTCTTCTTGTTCCATTTCTTCTTCTTCTTCGACATCATCTTCTTCCGGTTCCAGAACCGGATACCAGCGTGCAAGTGGTTCTCCTGAAGGCTCCACAAAGAAATCAACGCGAACATCTTCCGTATCCTGTGGAGCCTCCAGAAGCTCAGTGCTCTCCACCTGCACGCTGGTCATGTCGCTCACCGTTGTGCCATCTTCTCTGACTTGTATGGTTTGCACCATCAGGGTCTTCTTCACTATCAGGCACCCTGATGGTGCCATGATTGCCGTGCTACATTTCTGACTATCACTCAGACAGTACTTCGAGTTGCTCAACCTTGCTGCCATCTCCACATAGTAGATTGGGGAACATAGTGTCCCGCTTCCATCTTCATCCATTACTTCTCTAATCCGTTGCTCCAAAGAGCCATGAAGCGCATACGCCCGCCATTCCCTGGCTCCGGCAGGTTGCGATACTAAAATCATGAAGGTCCATCTCTCATCGAACTGCGCAAACCTGCCGGAACCTAGACTGACACGCGGGACGTACGCGCTCCTGTCCTCTAACTCCAATACGCCTCTGCTCAAACCGCAGAACATCTCCTCCGCCTCACTCGCACTCAGCAATTGTGCCGTTCTAATTTGCTC